CCTTAATCCAGCTACACTTTTCATCTCTAATAAGCCCTCCACAAGTAACCACACATTACATTTAATTGAGCCATCAATATTTAGTTTAGCCCATCCAAAATTAGAAGGATTTCATCTAGCTTTATACTTGATGTCAATTTTACTCAAAGGATCAAGTTTGGATTGAAATCTTATGTTATTGATAATTTGGCGTGTGCTGGAGAACGAATATGGAATACTATAATATTCAAAATGATAATAATGACTGCAACTTGTTATATTATATTTGAGTTTTGATATATAAAATACTAACAATTTGTGGTTATTTTTTCTTTCTTTCAAAATAAAAAGTACATTAAGCAGTGGAAGTCAATCGAGTAAAATTTAAGAAACGTGTTTTTTTCTTTCTTTTGAAGATTTTCCTTGAAAGGATAAATATTAAACTCAATATAATTCACTTCAATGCAGAAATAACGCATTTAAATTTAAAGTTTGAACCCGAAAGAAAGTTAACACCGACGTACTGAGGAAATAAGCCATGGTATGATATGTTATCGGTGAAGCAACATGTCAGTTAAAACTTAGAAGTCAAAGGAACCATTTGCACGTATAAATTCAAATGTCCGGCTCGACATCAATAAATTCAAATGTTTCGTAAGATTTTGAAGGTTAAAATATTAAAAAAAAAAAAGCATCCAAAGATGATTTATAGTTCAAAGGAAATACTTGCAAGTTATAGTTCAAAGAAAATACTTGCAAGTCGAACTTAAAAATTCAACAATAAGCTCTTTTTTTTTTTTGGCCCCCAGTGGAATGCTAAGCTTCAAACAAATAAATACTCTATCTAAACCATAATATAGGACGTGTTTAAAAAACCCTATTTGGTCCTAAATATACAAGGTATGATTCATATATTTTTATCAATTACTCTTATATCTTACTTTATTATAGTTCATCTGAGTAATTAATGAATGTGTATTAAATAAGTAAAATGTTATATTTATTTCACCAAAGAGTATGATTGAAAATATATAAACAAATTTTTAAAAAATTGAATAATTTTTTTAAAAATAAATTAGTTAACAAGATGTGAAAAAAGTATACGGAATTGAGCACTTTAATGAAACAATGAACAATTAATTGGAAGTATTAAAATTTAGATATACTTAATGATGAAGCTAGAGTTCTGAATCTGCCTAATAAAGAGGATCTGCACTGGAAATTCTGCCAATTAAGTGGGGGTACTAAAGTTGATTCTGTAAGCTAAACCTTAAATTAAAAAAAATTAAAATTTTAAGATACACAGGTCATTTTTATATGTTATTCATAACTTGTCTCATCCAAAAAAAAAAATTAAAAATTCATTAAATTTTTTTAAAATTTATTGAGATTTGAACTTTGTTTTTTTAAATATATGTATATATATTTTTAATAACGCACAATCTTCTACCAATATTTAATGTGAGAAAGAAAGAAAAGTTTATGATAAAATTCTAATGAGATAACTTGTAAATAAAAGAAAAAATTTATCTCTTTATTTTATAAATAGAATTAGAGAATTAACGTAATAGAATTTAAAAGTTAAAAATGTTTATGATATCATGGTTTGTTGGAGTCAAACAAGTGATTACCCTAAATGAATGTAGTTATACAGAGTATAATGCTTCCTCCTTTCAAATTTATAAAATGTTTTGGGTGAGATTGATGTTTTAAAATACAAGAGACAATTTAACATATATTAATAATATTTTTAATATTACCATTTTTATATATTCTTTCTGTTTAATATTATTTAATAGATGAAGTCTTGAATGATAAACAATTTTAAAAGTTTAGATTTTTTTTTAAAAAAAAAGTTATAAAATATATTTAATATATTCTATTGTTATATATAATTTTATTAAAAATATTTTATAAATTAAAAGGAAAAAAGTATAAAGAATTTAAAATAAAAAGCGTGCAAGAAAAAGTCATGAAGAAGTGCATTTATGGATGGGGGGGTTGGGGCATGGGGAGATGAATGAAACGTAGTTTTCAGGCCATCACCGTCGTTTAATGTTGAGAATACTGACATTTGCGTCTTCCCAATTTTACGCTTTGTATTCCTTCCATTCTCCTCCTCGTTTTTTACTTCTTATTTATTTTTTAAGCTAAAGACGTCTTTTGCCCTTTGGTTCTGTTTTCCTTTTGTTTGGTAACTGTTGTTGTTATTCCCTGTCCTTTAAAAAAAAAAAATTGGTCTAGTTTATTTGTCCATTTCTTCAATAAATAATCGATGGCTTTTACCTAAATCTAGGAAACTGTAAAGTAAGATTCTTTATAGAAAGGTCTTATTTCCTCATATACTCTGCTTGATTCTAGGGGTGAGCTGACACCCGTGCCCGTTTATAGGTCCTCACTCAGTCGCTCATACTCGGACTAAATGGGTAAACCGGAGGATTGATTGTACAGCTAGCCCATGTTTAATTACCTATCAAGATACTTGCACCATCCCGTTTATAGGCTCATGTTTAAAAAAAAAATAGTGTCTTCTTATATGCCGTGTGCTTCTCTCATTTTTGCCTCCCTACAAAAAAAAAAAAAAAAAACAGCCCTCATTCACTTCAAGTCTCTTGCCACTCGCACTCATCTCTCACTCTGTCTCTCATTGTGGCCACCGCTCGCACTCGTCTCTCACTCATTCACCTTATGTCTCTATCTTTGCTTCTTCAAATCCTCAGTGAAGACCTTCATCACCCACTGTCTTGTGATTGTAAGTGTGGGTTGCTATCAAGTATTACTCTCACTCGCTATCTTGCGAGCCTCCCTCCCTCATGATTGAAGCCTAGAGACTAAAGCTCTTGGGAGTCGTGATTCAATGTCTCCCTACGAATCACAATCTGAAGAGAAGATGAAAGTTAAATGTTGCCAGAGCTGGGGCCTCAATCCTTCTAATGACCCGTTCACATCTCTCTCTCTCTCTCTTGCATCACGATTCGAGGTTTGTAATTGCTTAAGCCTCACGTCTCCCGCTCCAAATTAGCAATCCATAAAGTCTTGTTTCGCTTCTTTGGGCAAATTGCTCAAATTTATTGGCCTTTGCCTGAATTTGCAAATCTATTGGTTAGGTTCTAAATTACAAGTTGAATTTCCTCCTCCTTGTTCCTAGTTTTTTTTTTCTATAAATGTGTTGCAATTTTGAAAATTTGCAAGTAAAAATTAGCTAATCAAAATCCACCTAACTATTACAAGTTAGTCTAACCCTTTTTAAACATGTTAAAATGCATTAGCTTTAGATACGGGATAGTCGACACCCATTTTTCTTATATGGGCAAGTTATGAGTAGCTCTTTAAACTAGCTTGTTTCGCTTGTTACTCAATCTTATTTGATTCAACCTCAAACAGTAATACATTTTTTTAATATTATTGTGTTGCATAGGATAAACTTTTAAACTCCTATTCAATATTAAATTGGATGTACTTGTTAATAATTTTAAAGTCATATTTCATCTCTATCTTTTAAACAGTAAATTAAAAGTTAATTGATCCAAGTAGAAGGAACTAAAGCCACTTAAACATAGGTCTTGAATTCAAATTCATGAAAATATAAAAAAATATCTATAAAAAACTACCCTTAACTAGACCTAATAAAACTCAAAATACAATCCAATCAGATATCTACGTGGAAAAACATGGAAGGTGAATAATAAAGGAACAAGTTGAGATTTGAGAATAGTGAAATAGGAAAAGAGGGGAACGTCCAAAAGTCAAAAGACAAGGGAGGGGGGCCACGCGCCAGGGGAGCGTGTGGGACCAATGAAAAGGGGTGTCGACGAAGAAACAAGAAGCCAAAGAAGCGAAGTGATCAAACAGAAACGCCAATTCAGACACCCAGACTTTGTCAGGCTCTCTCTCTACCCCCTCATCTTAACATGTTCCATCACGCAAATGAAGCTCCCCGTAATTAAAATGCAATCCCTGGTCAAATTTGTCCCTTGATTGTATACACCAAAAATATCATTATTCTCACCCCCCATTCATTCTACTGTACATTCACATTCTATTCTTATTCGTATCCTAACCTATTTCACGTATAAATTTGTCATAGCCTGTATGAATCTCAACAGCTTTCAAAAAATTAACTTATCCTAGGGTTCCTTCCAATATGTTTCTTTGTTACTAAAAAAAAATTTAATATTCATTAACTATGCTCATAAATTGAGTAAATTGGTCTAATGCTCATGAAAAATATATTAACCAAAAATTATGGAAAAGTTTTTGAAAATTCTGAAAGATAGCCCATTTAAAATCAGTTGGGGTGTGATAAAAGCAAAATTCCTATAACCAAACGATCACAATCGAAGTTTATTTATAACTATATATCATTTTAATATTTGAACAATTTTAAATGCTTCACTATCAACTTAGATGGTATAATATATTTCATGTCTGAGAATGAGAGTAAGATTTTAAATTTAAGGAGAAGGAGTGTTTTTATCATTTTAATTTAATTTAAATATTAATTGTCATATTACAAAATATTTAAAATGTTATGATTTTATCTTTGTTTGATCTTATTAAATGGGTTATATGGGTAAAAATTTTAAAATTCCTTATAAATTTAACAAATTTTTTATTTTATCATGTGAAAAATAAACATATTTTAATAATATGTTATTTCTTGTTAGCACTTAATGAAGAATTAAAAAACTTGTGATGCAAAAATTAATTACATAATTTATAAGTAGCATAAAAAAAAAATTTCTTTCGACCTTGAAAGGAAAGAAAAAACAAGTGAATCATAAAAGCAGTGATACGAACCAATGAAGCATCGTTCTGAGAGTTCCATACTTCCTGGGAACTGTGAAAGAGCATTGTCATTCAGAAAGAAACCTCATTGTTCACTCCTCACAACGAGTCGACTCACCACTGAAAGATGCCATCCATTAAGCACCAACCACCCGTTTGACCTTTTTCGCTTTTACACCACACTCCCATCGAACGACGTCGCTTCATACCCCTCCTCCGGCCCTCCTTCATAACCGTGCCAATTATTTGGTTCCCTTCCCTTCCTCTTCCTTGTCCTGCCGAGATCACTCCCTCGGGAACCGATCCCCCTTCACTTATAAACAATAAAGTTGGGATTTTTCTGTAATTCTGGATAAATTGTGAGATTCCCAGCGAAATTTGTCCCCACTTTGATTCTCCCTTTTCTTCTTCCCCCCTTTTATTTTTATTGCTGGTCTAAGATTTCTGAGAAAATTCTACGGTGCCCAGAAAAAAGAGCGAAGAAGAAGAAGCAGGGACAGTACAGCAAAAGAAAAGCAGAAAAGAGCTCCCTCTCTCTGCTTCTCTTTCTCTTCCTCTTTCTCTTTCTGAATCTCTTATTCTGCGTCTTTTCTGAACCAAAGCTCCTGTTAACGGCACCCCACCGCCAGTACCACTACCTCCGTTCCTTCGTTTTCTAACGTCGTTGCTTACGAGACGCCGAGCCTTCTCTTTTGACGAAGAAGGGGAAAAAAAAAACTCATTTCTTTTTTACTTTGAAAGTCCTGCCTTGGAGGTTTCTTCTTCGTTGTTCGATGGTCATGGTGTTTGAATAGTCCTCTGTTTCTGTGCAATGTCGGCATCGGCCAAGGTTCGGTTGGTTCGCTGTCCCAAGTGCGATAATCTCCTTCCCGAGCTCGCTGATTACTCTGTTTATCAATGTGGTGGTTGTGGCGCCGTTCTTCGAGGTTCCCTTGCTTCTTTTTCTTCTTCTTCTTGTATATGTTTCGTGTTCTTTTGCTTCAAGAATTTTGCGGAGTGGTTTCAATTAAAGAAAAAAATGGCCTTTTTTTTTTATTTCTAGCTTCACGACTAGCAAAAATACTTCATCCCCAGAATGTGGATTTTTTCCCCCGTATAGTCAGTCAATAGAAATAAATCGGCTGCTTCTTCTTCTTTCTATTTCTGCTCTATATGTTATGGTTTTAGCCTTCACAATTTTTGCAAGAGTTGAATTGAAGGGACATAAATTCGCCTTTTTGATTCTAGCTTCGTGATTAGGCAGATTTTTTGTTATTGACCTTTTTTTATATATATTCGATTAGCATGAGATAAATCAGCAAACTATTGAAATGTAAGGATGAAGTCAAGCTAGAATAATTTTCTAATCTAAGAATTAAAACATGAGAAGTGGTTTGAATGGATTGGATATTATGTTGTCTTATAGTAGTTTATACATCTCTCTCTCTGTTTTTTTTTTTTAAATTTATTTGCAGCTAAGCATAAAGGTAATGAAAGTGGTAGCTTGTCGGAGAAATCTGACGAGGGGAAGATTGTAGGAGAATGTGCTAAATCAGAAAATTCTTCAGATTTTGATGTCAAGTCCAATAGTGACTCGCCAAGGCATATTAAGCCAAAGGATTCGGACAAAGAGAATAATAAGGGACACGAGAGATTATTGAGCCAATCCAAGGATTCCATTGAGAAAGGAGACTCAGAGAATGGTCTTGGCGTGAACAGGAAAAAAGAGGAAGCAGGTAAAGCGATAGGAAGAGAGCAAGAAGAGTCTAATTCTCATAACACAGATTCTGAAACCCGGTCCAAATTTTCTGGGAGGATGTCTGATGGGCAGAATGGGGAGAGATGGGGAAACGAGGGATTTTGGAGAAAGCTGAGAGCTGATGTTGAAGGAGTGAGATTTTCCGCTTCAAACTATCCTGATGAGGGCACTTCAAACAACTATTCCAATTTCTCCTTTGGGGATCAATGGAGGAACCACAAGGACATGAATGCCATGGACGCAGTTCAGCACCTTGAGCAAGACCGAGCTGAGCTTCTCAGGAAACTTGATGAGCTCAAGGATCAGCTTACTCAGTCTTGTGAAGTTTCTAACAACCCAAAAGAGAAGATCGGTGTAGATGGAAGGATGGGTCCTCCAGATCCTTATGGTGGCTCTGATGCTTGGTTTCCTGATGCAGCATCTGGGTTAAACAGAACTTCTAGGCAATTTCTTGGCCCCGATAAACACATGGCAGGCCCTTCTTATTTCAACTATCTTCGTGATCCGTTTGCCTATTCAAATGGGCAAGACATGATGGGCATGCCCAACTTCCATCCTTCAATGCATAATCCAAATCATATTTCTGGATATGGGGATCCTTATGCCTCTCAAATGCTGAGAAGAGGTCCACATAATTTATCCCATCAGTTCCCACAACAACCATTGCATCCTCACTTCCCCAGACATTATGCGGACTCCAATCCTGATTCATATGACCCATATATGCATAACACAATGCTTCACCCGGCTTCTTGCTCCTGTTTTTGTTGCTATGAGAACAAACGAAAAGCTTCAGTGCCAGTACCACCTGCTGCATATATCAATGGCAGATACCCTGATAACATGAATGATCCTATGTTATACCGTCATGAGATCCTAGGTACGTATGGTCCACATGTGCATAATTCTAGACCCACCATTCCTCCAGTGAGTTTCCATGAGTCACAACCACATCCAAGATGGCCTAGCGATTTAAACCCTGAAATGGGTGGGTTTGCCCGAGGCCGCCCTCGAAAAGTAATGTTAGCTACTGGTAGTCGGCGTTGCCATCCTATAGCAGGTGGTTCTCCATTCATCACATGTTATAACTGCTTTGAGCTTCTGCAGCTGCCTAAGAAAGTATTGGTGAAAAATCATCAGCAGAAAGTGCAGTGTGGAGCATGCTCTTCTGAAATCAGCTTTGCTGTCATCAACAAGAAACTAGTTATTTCTCCTCATTCAGAAACGAAAGGAATACCTGCTGGGGTTGATGATGGCATGAATGTGGTTGCAAGTAGCCGGGTGTCACATTCTCACGGTGCAAACTTCTCATCTGATGATTATTCTGGTTATGATTTTCACTCAGTGGATAGAGAACCTGTTTCTTCTTTGCCTGCAGACCCAAGCTCCAACTCTAGCAAGCCTCAAGAGATGCACAGTTATCATTCTTCATCTCCGAGTACGTCTGAAGATGAAAATAGTCCTGAGGCCATGATTGCTCCCATAGAGATTACCAAGTCCATTCAACCTAAAACTTCATTGTCTACCCCACCTGCTGGCTCACCTCTTCAGGAGTATTTTGATTATTCTAATAATAATCATACAGTAAACCGGTTTGGAAAAGGAAACCGAAGTAGTCGCTCAGAGCAAGAGAAGGTGAAATCAGACAAGACTACATCGCGACAAAATTCTCTGAAAGAAACAGCAACTGCAACTGAGATGGATGTTCATGATTACTCCAACACTGGGGTGTCCCAGGACTCAGGTGATGCAAGCCGAGAGCATGATCATTCAAGATCTAAAAAGGGAGGTGAATCATTTTTTGCAAATATCAAGAAAAGCTTCCGGGATTTCTCCAGATCTAATCAAACAGATAATCGAAATAGTAGCAGTGTTACTGTAAATGGGCATCCTATACCTGATCGTGTGATTAAGAAGGCTGAAAAGCTTGCTGGACCAATCCAGCCTGGGAATTATTGGTTAGTATGATTTACCTGCAGAATGCAATCATTTGTCTGTTTATTGACAACCTGATCATCAAAACACATTTCATATGTTTTCTCGTATAAAAAGCTGTACATGAGCTGTATTGCATCTGTAACCTTGCTTTTGGTATATTAGGAAGTTCATGCAGATGGCATATATAGTGCGCTAATTTCTTTTCCCTCATGCAATTTTTTCAATAGGTACGACTTTCATGCTGGATTTTGGGGTGTCATGGGTGGTCCTTGTCTTGGAATAATCATGGTAAGTTCTAGTATTCTGGCATACTCAAGAGTTAGGATTCCATGTAGTTCTTTGGTGAAAAATTCATATATAAACCGACAAGAATAAGTTGGATCAGTTGGTCATTTATACACTTCCAGTCTCTCTGTTGCTATCTTTCTTAATTCCACAAGAATTTAATGATGAAGAACTCTGAAAGATGCTATCATGATGCATGACGCTTGCCAAAATGTAGAGTATAAAATGAAGAAAGAAAACAACTCTTCTTTATTATGTTGAATCTGAATTACATGTTGGTACATCTATCGTATTTATTGAAGTATATGGAGACGGATAGCAGTGACGCGTGTACATGAAACAGATTAACTAAGACTTGAAACTGAATAACAGAAACTACACAATGATAACAGATAACTGATATAGCTATATGACTAATAACACTCATTTTTTATTTTTCATATGCTTATGGTTGGATCAAAGATAATTTGAATAAATGGAGTTCTGTTGCAGCCATCTATCGAAGAATTCAATCATCCCATGCCAGAAAATTGTGCTGGTGGAACAACGGGCGTGTTTGTGAATGATAGAGAGCTTCACCAGAAGGATTTGGATTTGCTTGCCAGCAGAGGGCTTCCCCTTGACCGAGATAGATCGTACATCATCGACATTTCTGGGAGAGTCCGAGATGATGACACCGGCGAAGAGCTAGATAGCCTCGGCAAACTTGCACCAACGTAAGTATATAGATATCTGAATGTTTTTCTTCCTCTTCACCAGCGAATGTCTACCCTTTTCTTGATAATGTCTTGATAATTTTAACAGAGTGGAGAAGGTGAAGCATGGATTTGGCATGAAAACGCCCAGAGCTGCTTCGTGATGGAAGTGTAGGAGTAAGTTGTTTGCATTAAAAAGGTGAAGTATGGATTTTGTTCCATGTTTGTGCTGGTTTGTGGAAAAATTTTGCACAGCCTGTGCCTGAGATGACTCTGCGTGCATGGGCTTGCTCTTGGAACGGACGTGTAAAATGTGTAAATTTATCATTTTGACATTGCTGATAAGGGAAGAAGAAAACTTATTAGGAAGTTTCGGGGTTGATTCTATCCGGTAGCTCTATGAAAACGTAAAAGCAACTCGTGTGTTAGGTTAACTGTTATTTGATCTATAAAAAATTGTAAATCAATTTGATCATCGTGTTGTGTTGTATATTGTTTTACATGAAAAGAAAAGAGTGAGATTTGTCCGGTAATTAAGCTCAATTCATCATTGTTGTTATTACAAGTGAAAGGTCCTAAAGATTGAAGACGTCAAAATCCTTTCTTTGACCAAAGTGGCTTACTGCCTGTGCTTCATTAATTTATATCCATCAACGTTCGCCATGCAAATTTAGAAAGCACAACCTTCGAGACATTACTCTGTTTTCCCCCCTTAATAATAACGAGCAGATTAAACTTGTAATCTTCCATTTATAAAGAGTCGTTCATAATCACAACGGCATTAAACTCTTAATATCTGCTATTCGATGCTTACGTACATACAACATAAAGAAATTAAAAAAAAAAAAGTCAAGTGATGATTCTTGAAAGAAAGCAGTTTAAGAATATTTTTATCTATTGATGACAAGACTAAGGTATTGGAACTTTGTAAATAATTTAGATGCATGAAATTTCTCCATTATGATTATGATAACAGGTGTTATAAAATGGAGGCTCTTAATTTTATATAAGATAGACATTTTAGAGAACTACACTATTCATGAATTGTTCAGAAAAGGACTTGTAATTTTTCTGATGGGAATATATGCATGTATATTAAAAATCCTGATTCCTGAGGACATAGCACATGGGATTGATTTGATATTGGGTTGAGTTCACGAGAAATGAAATAGCAGTCACAGAGGTATGTATGTCTATTTTGTTGGATTCGTCCCTTCCGACATTTATTCTCGATTCCCTCTGCCCAGGGCAGGCATCTACCTAGCGACGCAAAATGCCTCCTTTTCAACTTTTCAAGTAATCCTTCTATCTCAATTTACAAACAACATTTTACTAGTAATTTGGTTTCTTCAAAATTGAATAAAATTTATTCCAATATCACGCTTCTCTTTCTATTACGTTTTCTCTTTTTAATATTTCATAATAAAATTATATTAAATTAAGAATATTTTTAAAAAATTATATTTGTCTTTTTTAAAAAAAATTGTAAAATATATTTAATAAATTCTATTAAAAAATATCTTATAATTGAAAGGGAGGAAATATTTGTTTGAACAATCACGTTTATTATCTATTCTACATTTGTTCATGGTCCTACACGTGAGATTCAATCATTATGTGCTATTGACTTGTTGATGAAGATTACTGCTAACTCTTCTCTCATAAATTGATAATCCATCCACTGGTCTTCCACATTATCGCCATCACAATACATTAAGAGCAATGAAAAAAAAAAAAAAATACTCGAGCGCATCGTTTAGGTAGTTAAGAAAAACTGAAAAAGTGAAAAACTGCAAATAGATTTGGAAAAACAAAAAAAAAAAATTGTTATCGCCTCTATTTTCTTTCTTTCTTCCTGGTCCTTTCTCTGATTTTCTGGATCGCCAAACACCCCCAGATGGTGAAGGGAATGAGGTCTGGTTCGAACCCATTTTCTGTTCATAAACACAATCAAGTTTTAGTTAAGTTGGTTGTTTCGCTTCTCCTTGTGGGTCTCGCTTTTCGTCTTCTCGTTTCTGACTCCGTCTCATCATCATCACTTATGGTTATGGAGACGCCTACTATTGCCTCCCAGGAAAAAGCACAGCCCCCTGGGAATTCTTTTCCTCTTCAGACCCATGACGCTGCAAATTTTCCCGCAAATGAAGGCCAAACAGCTGATAATGGTGAGGAAAATTTTTAAGATTTTTTTGTTCATTGAAGGCGTGCATGAATGAGAAATGCGATTTTTAGCGGCAAAAGTAGTCCCATTCCTCGTTTTCAACAATTATTATAGAAAATAATATTGCCCCATTACTTCTTGTTCATATTTGGGATTTTGGTTTTCAGTTTTGAAAACTGATTTTCTTTCTCCGTTGGATTTCCAAATATGTCTGAAGATGGAAATATAATTAAAGTATCTTATTACTACATTGTTTTTGGTCAATCTACTGATTGTCATGTCCATTTTCTAATTTTGAAATCTAGCGAGCCTGACATTATGCAATTTAGATTGTTCTCCAGCCAAAGCATTTTTAGCAACTACCTCTTAGCACACTCATTTGTTGTATTTTGACAACACAAATTGATTTATTTGTATGTTTGATTCTGCATTCAATGAGGAACTTTAGCTGATGGCCACTCTCTAAATTAGCACTCCATGGAATCTCACTCGATTGTAAAGTTATTGCAGACTTTTTTTTTTTTAAAAAAAGAGTAATACAGAACATATAAATTTGTATGGGACCCATTTCTTTTTAATTTAATTTTTTTAATCTCCAGTCTCATTAAAAACTTCATGATTAGCTCTGACCTTTGTCATCTCTGGCCAGTTCTGTATTTGTCTCTTGTAATTAAATCTTTCCTCATACCCTCCCCTTTTTCTCAGACACCAACATCTGAAGAAAGTATTCTCAGTGTTTGATTGTCATAACGATGCTGCCTTTCTTTCTCGTTTTTCTCCTGCACAATCAGTCCTGAAATGCATTAACAAAGATGTGAAATTGTAGCTTTTTGTTGCTGAACTTAAGAGTTCCCTTTATAAAATTTGGATGCAGCAAAATGTGCTCTTTTTGTGGGACAGTGGGTACCAAACCCATATGGTCCAGCTTACACTAATGAGAGCTGCCATGTTATTGAAGATCATCAAAATTGCATGAAGAATGGAAGACCCGATATGGATTATCTTTACTGGCGCTGGAGGCCACATGATTGTGAATTACCAAAGTTCAACCCCCAGAAATTTCTCAATCTTATGAGGGACAAATCATGGGCCTTCATCGGCGATTCCATCTCTCGCAACCATGTTCAATCCATGCTTTGCATTCTCTCCGAGGTACAGCTAGTCCCTACTGCATTGAAAGATTTCTTTGTCGTATCAAGTTTTGTATTCGCTTCTTCATTTTTTCCCAGTTATCTACTTCATTTTCTAGTCTTAGGAAGTTCAGAGAAACCTGTTTGAATCCACTAGGAGAAGCTTAGATTCAGAAACAAAGTAGTTCAAGTTCTTACAGATTGCATAGTCTAAATACACTGAACCTGGAGAATGGCCATCCCTATTCTGCAAAACTTGTTTTATATTACAGTTCTTTTGTTGGTATTAGTGTCCCAATTTCAGGTGTGGAAGACAGATTGTGCTGTCATGGTTTGGAAATTGGGTTCTTTAATATTGTTTATGCTTTTATATATTTAAAGAGAGAAAACGATGTGGATCTCACATTTTATAGCCATCATATCCTCTCTCTAGATGCACTATATGCATTTACTTTTACAAAATCATCTGATAGTTAGTACAAACCAGACCTTAAAGAATATTGAAATGATCCTAATCATGAATGAACACCATGAATACATGCATTACACTATATTGGCATTTGTTCTTAGTTTCATAACTCTAGTAGTGTACGATGCTAAACTGATGTTGATGCTCTAACGTTGAATTGCTTCTCGCACACTTTCATTCTTGATCAAGTACTTGATTCATGCTTCATCAGTGATTTTGTCTGGCAGGTGGAACCAGCTGTCCAGGTCTGCCACGATGAGGAATTCAAAAACAGAGTATGGAAATTCCCAGCTCACAACTTCACAGTCTCAGCAATTTGGGCTCCTTTTCTGGTCAAAGCAGATATATTTGAGGACATCAATGGAGTTTCCTCTGCCGAAGCACAGCTCTACCTCGACGTTCTCGAGAGCAAATGGATTAATCGGTATGAAAGTTTTGATTACGTCGTGACTTCTGGTGGCAAGTGGTTTCTCAGAACTGCAGTGTACCTTGAGAATGGTGCAGTCACAGGCTGCCATTACTGCGCCAACAAGAGCATAAAAGAGCTAGGATTTGAGTATGCATACCGAAAAGCACTACAGGTAGCTTTCAACTTCTTCATAAACTCCAACCACAAACCCGTTGTTATCTTCAGAACCACCACACCAGATCACTTTGAGAATGCAGAATGGTACAATGGAGGGTACTGTAACAGGACAATGCCCTTCAAAGAGGGTCAAATAGGCCTGAGAGATCTGGATATTATCCTGAGAAGTATTGAACTCAGAGAGTTTCAAAAGGCCAAGGTCAAGGCTGAGGCATCCCCAGGATCCAAACATGGTGCTACAAGTTTGAATCTTTTGGACCTGACCGGCCTCTCCCTGCTAAGACCAGATGGTCATCCGGGACCATACCGGCACTTTCAACCATTTGCCAAGGACAGAAATGCCAGAGTTCAGAATGACTGTTTGCATTGGTGCTTGCCAGGGCCAATTGACTCTTGGAATGATCTGGTAATGCAAATAGTTGTCAATGGCAGATAATCTGGGAGATCAGACTATCAGTGTTTTGTGGGTTTTTTTTTTTTCTTTTTTTCTTTTGGGCATCCGCAGGGTCTGTGAATTCTTCAGTTTGGGATGCTACTGATGATTGCTTCTTCGTGAACTTGCATTCAGCCTGGAAGTTTTATAGCCAATGCTGGTAGGGAAGAAGAGATTGTAACGTTAACATGCATTAAACTGTATACGTGACCAAAGCCAAAGCTTGCAAATTACAGGTTTGTTACAGAACAACAAAAGAAACAACACTACCACAGTTTCAAGGTTTTGAGGTGAGATATTTGTTTCCTGAATTCTTTCGTCTGTCTCTTGGTTTTTTGGAATTATATCCAAGAGAATCTCGTTATAACTCTCAGTAAAACATTATTCTTGGAATAAATTTAAAAATAAAAAAATCAATTTCCCTGCATGCATGTTTATTTTTTATATCTTAAATTAACTAAACGTGGCATCATGAATGTAAAGGAATCATGCCCAAACACTGACATCGATCATGTACAGAGTACAATGATATTAGATTAACTTATACTTGAAATACTTTCAATCAAGAATTTGAGCAAAAAAGTCAAATGTTGTATCTAAATTCAAAGCCTGCATGCGATGGCATATTAAAAATTAAAAAAGAAAAAAGAAAAGTGCTTTGCGTCTTTTCCATGAGGCTTCTCAGATCATCAAGACCAATTTCTTTTGGGCTTCTGCCCATATGGTAGGTGCATGGATCCGACACACCATATTTATATATTATTTTAGGAGCCGTCTGATTGAATAAACAATTTATATTTTGTTCGTACAACAAAAGAATACATTTTTTTAGTTTACTTGTTTAACTTTAATTTTAGAATTATTAGAATGCGTAATAACATATAATAATGATAGTTTGAAAACTACCAAATGATAAGAAAAATGAGGATTTAAATAAACAAATGTAAAGGAATAATACGAAAAGATTTGGGTTGTTGATATAGAAATCAGAAAGGCATCGAAGATAAATGTAAATCAAACCCCACAGGGTAGATAGAACAGAAGTTTGAAAGGTGAATGTGCAAAAAAAAACTCTTAAAAGTAGTGATACAATCAGTCTCCATATTTGAGCATTCTAATTCCATGCCATAAGCATGTCTGCATGCATGCACTAATATTAGTTTGAATAATGCATCCAAATTTGAATTTTAATTTGCAGGAATCTAGACTGCAATATATAACTACTTAATGAATTTTCCTAGCCTGGAATTATATTGTTTTCTCGGGCTTTTCAAAATGATATATAGTATACGAATTGATTTCAATCATTTAGAAATATGTTGTATTGAGATAATTTTTCACGGGCATAACTTGATGTGAAAAATGATCCATCGAGTAAGGATATACGGGCAATGTCATGATTTCAAGTCATAATTTTTTACATTGTACTTGAACTTGAAGAATCTTAATAGAAGGATCTCATTTATGATTTATTAAATTTTTTAAAATGCACACAAATTTAAAACAGTAATTCACAATAGAATAGATTTATTAAATTATTCTGCTTTTATCATAAAATTAGAGGGAGAGATCGTTCCTTGTCATGCGTTGGACGAAAATTATGTTGTCTTTTATTGTCTGGAATTTGTAAATGGGTTTTACTGATCATGTTTAGCACTCCACTAAGGGCGATGGAAAACGGGGTAAAATAATTTTGTCGTTACTCAATTAGACAGTGACACCATATCTACTCCATCAAGATGCCATCTTAATTCTTAATTACCCCTTTGTCGTCACTTGAAATTAATATCATAATTATCCATCTCATTATGTGTCTTAGCCATTCCTCTGTGGATCCCTCACACTTGTTACCATTTATAATTTTATATACAACTCTGTATTTAATATATTGCTTTTCTTTACATCATTCTATCATCATCGTACCGTGTATGCTTTTTTAAAAAGTATATATATGATCATTATTACATACGTAGAGTAATTTATGAAACAATCACTAATATTTTCTGATTGCGTCACAATTTTTAAGTATATCTATATCATTGTAAAGTACCTAGGGTATACATTTTTTATGTTAGTACTTTTAAATTTATAATAATTTTATACTGCATTAGTGAAAATCAGTGGTCACTTTAGGCTATAGATTTTTGATTTTGAACCTAGATATATATATAATGAATATATGATCCATAAGCAAAGATAAATGATAGGAAGAATTTGAAATGTGAGAACTTCGTGTGACACGTGTTGATCTACTTTTCAAAAAGGTTACGTGAGGTTAATGATTGATGGATTGGGCTAACATAAGAGCCACAAAAAACACAGTCAAGTTCAGAATTAATGCAAGGGCCAATAAAATAGAGTACACCAAAATTAACAAAAAGGTGCGTGAGTGTAAGTGTGAGTGTGTGTGAGATAATAGACACACACAGACACATAGGACAGTGTATGTGGGGCTGTAAAATGAAAAGATGAATCCTAGGGCAAGGCTTTAGAGATTTCAAGCTACCATATGAAAACTGTCTGGATAATTATCAAAGCTATTAAAGTACAATTATTTTGGTTTGTATATCTGGCTTTACACCAATCGATGAACAAGAAAAGTAGTAATAATTGTAGCTTTCAATTATTCTTTGCATCATCACAGGTTTATTTTCATCCTCTGTTATCAACTTTATGGAGTGAATTATTTTCTCCCTATCAATTTATAAAATATTTTTTAAAAAAATTAATACCCCAAAAATATAAAATACTTAAAAAAATAAAATTTTATTATTAATTTTTTTAATATTATTTTTTTCATTATATCATATCTCTTTAATATTCTTTCATAAATAGAATATTAAATAAAAAATATTTTTAAAAGTTTATATTTTGTTTTAAAAATATAAACTTATAAAGTATATTTTATGAATTTTATTGATATACATCATCTTGTCTAAAAGTATCTTTTAAATTGGGTTTGAGAAAGTATTAATTAGTTTATTCAACAATATAAGACATTTTTTAGGTTAAATGTTAAAAAATATAAGAGATTTTTAATTTTTCAATACATAGTTAATGAGTTTTTTAATAAATATATAAATCAACCATTCACTTTTAAGCGAAACAAACTACTCCCTCCATTTAAAAATATAAGACAGTTGAACATTTTGAAAAGTTGAACATTCAAATTTTGAGATGTAAGGCATATTTAGTATTTTGAGATGTAATCCTTTTTTTTTAAAGTATTCCTATTGATGAATAACTTTATATTTATTGTAGGATGTTTAATGGGGATAAATATAAAAAGATATGGTTAGTTTAAATGTATGTAATTACTTTATCGGAGGGTAAGATTTGATTAAAAATACCTCATATTTTTTAACAGAGGGAGTATTAAATAAGAGCAAACATGAAAAAATGGTATAAGTTTAAAGATAATAAACTAAAGGGTGGGACTTATATATTTAATATACTTATATCTAATCAAATTATAATAAGTGAATTTTAATGTATTAATTAAAGCAATAACAAGAATTTATTATAAAAAATAATTTTATAATGTCACATTAAACATGTAAATTTAAGTATATAAATTTTTTCCTAAACTAAATTACTAGGAGTTATTCAATTAAAAAAGTTTTATATTTTTGGGGGGGGGGGGTTATGTTTTTTTGTAACAGATTATCATGCTTAGTGTTGCTACCATTCCGAGCGTATTATCTGTTTCACAAGGTAAATAATAAATATGATGAAAAACGAAATAACAAAATATACATAAATAGTTTTCTAATTAAAAATAACTCCAATTTTATAAAGTCAAATCTGAATTGATAAATTTAGATTTAAATTTAAAATCTCAATTCTAAATATCATATTTAAAATTTATGTATTTAAAATCTATTATTTGATTAGCTTTAAAAAGTTCAAATGAAAAAGAGATATGACTTAAAATCTAAAATAAACATAAAAATAAAAATAATAAATTTATATATATGTTTCAAACGATGAGAGATGAAACTAAAAATAAAATAAGATATAAGGTTATAGATGTACAAATAGTAAAACGAAAAAATAATATGTTTAAAATTACTCAAATTTTAATTGACTAGAGTATAAAAAAATAAAATTTCTAGAAAAATATAATAAGAAATAAATTTAGGCCCCATAAATAAATTTGAAACAATCAAGAGTGCACACATAGTATTATATGTATAATTAAAAATAAAATTGAGAAAAAAAGAACAATAAATTCGATGTTTTACCTATTTCAAACTTTAGTCCCTGACCTTTAATGCTAACTTTATCCTTTAAAATTTTATTTTTTAAAATATACATGGGAAAACATTTTTAAATAGATAAAATTATAAATATTAAGCTGTAAGGGTCAAAGTTTATGTCTTAATTTTTGAAGTCAGAAATTTAGATCAAGTTCAATGAATCAGTGCAAATAAATTCAAAAAAATTAAAACTAAGCTTAACAAAATATTATATTTTTAAGGTTTGGACCTATTTCAATTAGGTTTAAAAAAGCCTGAATTTATCTTAAGAATATGTTTGGGCCTTTTGAGACTCAGTTTGCTTTAATTATCAATTTTATTGAATTAAAATTATGATGAATGAGTTGCATTAAATTAAAATTTAATAATAATATTTTAATTGAGTTAAAATTATGTGAATTAGATGATTATTTAAAAAAAAAGCATGAAAGAGGATAAAAGATTATTATGAACAATGGGAATGGCAAAAAAGGGCGGTAAAGAAAGAAAAAAGAAAAGTAATGATGGGAAGAATCTAAAAACAGCATGAAGGTTTGAGAAAGTAGGAATGAGAGAGGAATTATCAAAGGAGCACAGAGCGTGGAGAATATCCTCAACAGTAAACGCCACTTGCTGGGGTTGGTTGGAGAAACGAAGAGGGAGGTTCCTGATGACATAAGCATCACGTTGAAGTGACGTCATCACCCACAAATCTTAAATAAATAATACTGCCAACTTTTATTTATTGCTTCTAGATACATTGCCCACTCTCATCTCCTCTGTTCCCAATTATTGAAAATGTCCACTCTCTCTCCCCCCCTCCCCACGCACACACACACACATTCATATGTTTCCAAGCATCTTTTTCCAACCCAATAATATTCAAACCCATTCATATGCCTCCTCTCGCAACTACCATCTATTCCTTCCTTTCGTTTTCTCATCGATGCGCCATGTTCCACTTCTTTAACATTAACCTTATACTATTCCTAATTTCTAAATACTTTACTTTTTTTTAGCCAAATATTCTAAATACTGTACTTTATTACACTTCTTCTTCTTTGTATTGATTTAATTTTCTATTCTTTTCCCATTGTTTTCTTTAGGAAATCTTTACTATTCAATTTGTTTGATTGCATTAAAACAAAAAATCCTTCAAATAATTCAAATATATCAACCAAATAGCTAAATTTCGTTCAAAATATCATTCTTTTTTTTTAACTTTCAGGTCTTCTCTAATGAGAAATTTATTATATATAACATTATGGAAAAAATATTAAAAAAGTTGATATGCACGTAGATATAAAATTATAATGAATGTACGTGATAAAAAAAAATAACGAATCTGCTCCCATACACTTCTTTTGTTTTTTTTTAATCACTCCCATGCAATCTGACAAAAGAAAGTGTTAAACTCATCCATATGGCACCATCTAACCTTTCACAACCAAAAGCTCTTGCTTTACCAAACATCCAGACTAAAATCTTGGACAATGTTCATGAATAATGATCGTTTTCTTCGTACGTGAAAAAAATATCTAACCCGGACAAAATCGAAATACTTCCTTCATTTCCTCTTTCCCGTTTTAATTTGCTTTTTTACTCGGTTCGTTAATATATATCCTGTTCCAAATTTTAAAGTATAATTATTACTAGTTTCCAATAATACCCGTCTCGCGTTACAGCGTACATACATTTTGTTTCTACCGGCTTCATTCATGTTTTGTCGTATAAAGAGAAGGAAATACGTACGAGATTTGTATTCATTGTGCAACATATATTGGGAAATAATTATCCACTAAAATACATGCACACACGGACCAATCATTCAAAAGCCAACCCGCCACCACAAGTCTCTTATTATATAAACGCCTCTCTTCTCTATCTTCATTCTTCCACAGAAATCCTCAATCTTCAATATCAAAGCCCACATCGAATAGCTTAGTATTTTTTTGCCTCCCGGGTGATAACTTCCATGGAGTCCTCTCAATCTCTGATTCCGAAGCCCCCCACGGTGGTTATGATTCCGAGCCCAGGCATGGGCCATCTCATTCCCATGATAGAGTTCGCAAAACGACTCGTCGTTCACGATCTCTGCGTCGCCTTTGTCATCCCCTCAGACGGCCCTCCCTCTAAGCCCCAGAGGACCGTCTTCCTCGGCCTCCCACCTTCTATCCCCCCACACCTTTCTTCCTCCGGTTTCGCTCTCTGAACTCCCCGACACCTCCAGGATCGAAACGATCATCTCCCTCACCGTTGCCCGCTCCCTCCCTTTTCTCCGCGACGCCCTTCCGCTTGCTCTCGGAGTCTCATCGCCTCACCGCCGTCGCCGTCGACCTCTTTGGCACCGACGCATTCGACGTCGCCCGAGAATTCGGTGTTTCTCCTTTCATCTTCTTCCCTTCTACCGCCATGGCCCTGTCCCTGTTCCTCTACCTTCCTCAATTAGACGAAGAGGTTCAATGCGAGTACAGGGAGCTCGAAGAACCGGTGAGAATCCCAGGGTGCATCCCGGTCCACGGGAGAGATCTCCTGGACCCGGTCCAGGACAGGAAAAACGATGCCTACAAATGGCTCCTCCACCACAGCAAACGGTACCACCTTGCCGAGGGAATCATAGAGAACAGCTTCACGGAGCTCGAACCGGGGGCCATCAAGACGTTCCAGAAGAACGAACCGGGTTCCCATAAGCCTCCTCTTTATCCGGTCGGTCCGCTGGTGAACATGGACAATGCTCACAGTGAAATCGACGGGTCCGGGTGCCTGAAGTGGCTGGACGACCAGCCACACGGCAGCGTCCTATTCATCTCCTTCGGCAGCGGTGGGGCCCTCTCGACGGCTCAAATCAACGAGCTCGCTCTGGGGCTAGAAATGAGCGAGCAAAGATTCTTGTGGGTGGTGAGAAGCCCCAATGACGGAACCGCAAACGCGAATTACTTCAACGCGGAGAGCGAAGCAGACCCTTTCGGCTTTCTCCCCAAAGGGTTCGTCGGAAGGACCAAAGGCCGAGGCTTCTTGGTGCCGTCGTGGGCCCGCAGGCTCAAGTCCTGAGACACGCTCGACCGGCGGGTTCCTGAGGCTTCTTGGTGCCGTCGTGGGCCCCGCAGGCTCAAGTCCTGAGACACGGCTCGACCGGCGGGTTCCTGACCCACTGTGGCTGGAACTCCATCTTGGAAAGCGTGGTGAACGGCGTGCCACTGGTGGCCTGGCCTCTGTACGCGGAACAGAGGATGAACGCGGTGATGGTGACGCAGGACGTGAAGGTGGCACTGAGGCCCAAGGCGAGCGAGGGGGTTGCTGGAGAGGCACGAGGTCGCCAAGGTGGTGAAGGACTTGATGGAAGGCGAAGAAGGCAAGAAGCTTCGTTACAGAATGAAGGATCTGAAGGAAGCTGCCGACAAGGCTCTTTCGGAGAATGGAAGCTCCACCAAGTACATCTCAGAGCTAGCCACCGTATGGAAGAACAAATAATTAATTACGTCCACCTATGCCAGTTGTTGATGAATTTAGGTGCAAGCCAAACAGGCCCTAGTGAATTTGTTATTGGGAACTGTGGTGTTAATTAAATTCAAAACATAAATACATGCCCAGAACTTTGATGGCTTGATATGCTTACTGTATACATGAATTTGTGTTGGCAAGATACATAGTTGGAGTGTGGGGAGATTTTGTTGATAGGGTAGATGAGAAAGAGACATGGTCGAAATGAGTGGTGAAGGGAGGAATGTTGTTTCATTTATATGGCGAGATGGAGGGAGGTGAGAGAATGAAGAGCAGCACACGAGAGAGTGGACGTGGGTCCTACGTCTGAACACGAAATTTGTGAAGACACAATTTAAAGGTGGCAGAAACTCTGATCTTTTGGCCGGCCGGCCGGCTTTGGTCATTTTGCATGACCCCGCCTGTAACACATGCCCTCCTGTAATTCAACTTGGGTTTAGTAAGTGCAATAGGAAAATCAGGAGAGCCGTAATTGAATACTCCCTCAAATTCAAGCACATTTTAAAATATTTATTTAATTATATTTATAAATTACAGTGTGATTTTTTAAATAATATTTAAAATATATTTTTAAAATTTTTTTATAAAGAAGAAAAGTAATATGACATTGTTTTTTTAATTTTTATATAGAAGTATATTTAAAATTTTATATACTTTTATTCCTTATTTTTTTTACATTAATATTGATGAAATTGATAAAAATAATTTATAAAAAAAAAGAATATAGGATAATTAATCCTAACCACTCTTGTTTTGGTTTTTTTTTTTTCCTTTGCATAGTCCTCATTAGCCTATCTTCCTTGTTAGTTCCTTTTATCTATACTCCCTCCAGCTCTTTTTATAAATAACTCCTAGCATTTTTTCTAAAACTAAGGAAAAGCTTTTAGCTTACTAACTTGAGTTTAAAATGAAAAAAAGCAACAAATGTTAAAAGAAAGGGTAGCATTAAAAAGTAAATTGATTTTTATGATTTGTAATTTTTGTAATATAAATGCTTCATGTCAAAAACGTTTAAAAAATATGCCTGACAAAATTTTAAATAACATCAAATTTGATGTGTTAAATAATAAGGTTAAAAAATACTCCTTCTGTTTCTATATACAAGAAAAAAAATTATATTAAACAATTTAAAAAGTTAATTATCATAATAATTATGTCTAAAAATAAAAAAATAGACTCAAATGTCTTATGTTATTCAACATAAGTATGCATTAATTATTTTCATTAGTGTATATTATGAGGGGTGATTTAAAAAATATGTAATAAATTATTGAAATGTGTGATTTTGCTCGTAAAAAAAAAAAGTAATAGTTTGTCTTAAAAATAGAAGCAAAATAATAAGATTTTGATATATTGGACAAAAGTATATAAACAGTTCAATATACATTAATAATAAAAATTAACATTGTTAACTAATCCCTTTATAATGCCTTATGCTAGTTACAACAATTTTTAGAATTTTTTATTGAAAACTGAAATGTTTTAATTTGATGCATGAAAACATAACCAATTTCTTTTTTATAAAAAATAGGCGTAGTATAGTCATATCAAAAATTAAGGTATCATGCTTCAAAAGCTTCCCAAATCAAGTTGAGCAAATCCACTTTGGGTGTCAATTGATTCTAAAAATCATTTTGGACAAAAATTTATCATTCGAAGTGCTGGAGCAATGTAAAATGTGGAGGAACCGAACAGATTATAGCTTTTGGTTTGTTTTTCATTTGTGTTACCATTTGAATAATTGTGTGGTTAGATGTGACACGAATTCGGAGAAAATAATTTGTTTCTTGATGTCCAATGATCCCACGTACACGTGGCGACAAATTCAATAGAGTTGTAAAACACTTGGCCTTGCCAAAACACAAAAAGATTAGACGTGACAGGTTGAATTTTGTCGCCTTCTCTTTTCGAATCCTATGTGAGTTCAAGAAATTAAAATCGTGTTTCATTTAATGACATGACATTATCAAAAGCATTTTACTTATTTTTGATGCATGAAAGATCACGATAACATGGAGTTCAGGTTACCATCCTCACCCTACTTTATATTCTTTTAATATTATTATAATTTACTTTAATATATATTTTATTAAAATTAAAAAAAATTAAAAGTCATTAATTATATCTAAAAATTTAATAAATTTTTAATTTTATTTTTATTGAATATATCGATTTTAACAACAGGTAAAAAATGTGTGATAAAAAATTATTAATATGATTTATAAATAAAATAAAATAATATTTTTTGTCTACTTTATAAATAGATGAGGGAGAATGGTTCCCATGCGCAGGAAATGGACCACTCCGCAGATCTGGTATGTGTGTTTGTAGTTATGGAATCATAATTTTTACAAAATCTTGATTTCATAAAAATAGTTGAATTAGATTCTTTGTTTAAAGCCATGAATCAAGGGCAATCCCATAGAATTGTGACTTTTAAGACACCTTTATCCTTATAAAAATTTTAGAAAGATAATTTTGCCCTAAAAACATATAACCCTAATCACACTCAGAAATGACCATTAGATGTGACAGACCGAGCAAAGACGAGAGAGCAGTGGGAAGATCGACGACAAGAAGGACGACAGACAACGACCAATGCAATTGAAAATTAAAATGTGAAAATTAATATTTTATTTATATACTAAATATATGAGGAAATTAAAATGTTTTTTTGTAAATATTTTACTTATATATAATATTTATCATCTATATAATATTTCATTAACATATAAATATATAAGAAAATTGAAACACAATTAAGCTTTTATTATGTTTTATTTTAATTTTTATATAGGAGTATTTTTGTCTTTTAAGTATAATTCCATTTTCATGTCTTATGTACCAAACAAAAGTAATATAAAAATTTCATCTAATTTTTCTGACATACCAAACATATTTTTGTAATTCAATTTTATTTCGATTCTGATTCCAATTTCAATTTCAATTCTGATTCCGATTTCATTAAAAACTATTAATCATACCAAACGAGACCTTAGAGAGTTAATAGCAGCACCATCAAGAACAGGGAAATTGCATTTTTTGGATAATTTCCCATTGCCAGCTAGCTATTATTATATTTAGTTTCCAACAGACTTGACTTTTTTAACTAATAACTAAGGTTGGGCAATTTGGTTACTGAAAAATTACGCTGAGAGACTTATTTCCTAATTAATTAGATGAAAATATCTCATGTGATAATAAAATGCACCGTCTACTTGATCAAATGAGGAAATTAAATAAGAGGGGAAAAGGGATAGATACCAAAGAGATGACGAAATCTAAAGCTATTCTATTCAAAGGTTGGCGTGTAAATTACCCCTTAATTTTGGAAAATAACATCATAAATTTTAAACTTATTTATTATAAAATTTATTCTCTCAACTTTTGAATACTCCTCTAATCCTATTTATATAGTAAAGATAGAGAAAAAAATTTGATCTTATTTATAAAACACTTATCAATTTTTAATACTTTCCTTTACAATTTTACTCTTATTAAATGCTTTGAATAAAAATATTAACAATGAGATTTAATAATATTTATTACAAGTAAAAGTGAAAATTTATAATTTTAAGAAAAATTAATGAGATTTTAGGTTTTTCTTAGTTTCAGTGAAATATATTGAAAGTGACTTATAAATAAGATTATAGATAGTATGGTGCAATCTAACTCCTATTATTAACAAAAATTAACTTTGACTAAAAAATGACTAGGAAAGAATATCAAAAAAAATACAGAAAAGGATAACAAATTACAATAAAGGACATAAAAATTATAGACGAATAACCAAAAAATCATTAAAAAGTGACCAAAAATTTTTTGGGTCATTTTTTGTATTTCTAAAATCCTTTTCTATCATTTTTTAATCAACTAACGATAAAATTAACTTTTATTAATGATAGAGGTTAAATTGTATCGTTTTAAAAGTTGAGAAAAAAAATTGCACGATAAACAAGTTCAAGTTTTATGGTTATTAAACTAAAGTTTTAAAAGTAATTTTCTCATATACACTATATTTAATAATGTATTTTTGGTAAGGGTCAATTATAATAACTGTACTACATTACTTTAAAGGTACGAAAATAGGAATGTGATTAAGGGCCAACCTTTGACGACCTTAGGCTTAAAAGGGCTAAGCTTGACAACTCATTTACTTAAAAAAGTTTTCATTTGCAAAGCTCCAACCTAGACTTCATAGGCCTAGGGCTTCCTTATGGGTCTCAGGTCTTTTTACATTTTTTAGTTTTGTTGTCATTTAAGTAAACATGCACAATAAAAGAATAAATAGCATACGTTTCCTAATTTAAATAATAAAAATTAACAATTAAAGTCTCAAACCATTGTCCAAAGTTAAAGAAACCCACAGGCAAAACTTAAATACCTAACTTTATATAGTTAATGTATTTTATTTAATCAATCAAAATAAGCAGATTTTAATATGTAATAATATTAATAATAAAAATTTATATCAATAAATAATTCATAAATGATACACATACCTTTACTTAATTAAAAACAAGTACTTTAAGTATGCAAGTTTTTCCTAAACCAAATTATTCTTCTCTAATCCCATTAACACAATAGCATCTTAACATCAGCAATATTTTGACTGTGCAAAACCCTAATTTCAAGTAATAAAATATTAAAATTTATAAATTTTAATTCAAGTCATATAATATGAAATTATATAAATGTAAAATACTCTACTATCCAAAATACAACTTAGAAATATTAAAACACGCGCATAACATGAATCAAATTATGATATGGAATCGAAATTAGATCAAACAATTATATTTTTGCCAAAGAAATCACTGCATAGAGTTAGACAAACAAAGCTTTATTAAAAAAAAACAAAGCAAAGTATTAGGTAATTCAATTCTAAAAAAAATACAATAGTAACTAAATATTTAAAACATTATCAATAATATTATAACAATAAATAATATTTGAAAAGATAAATAAATAAATGGGCTCAAGCGGGCTGACCCTCAACCCTAAAGAGCCGGCACTTTAGACCCTCATACCATTAGAGCTGGCTCTGATAAGTCATGTTATTTTGTAATTTTAAAACTCAAACCTAATTTTAGTAATTATCGAGTT